ATATTAGCGTTTAGTGTTAACAACAAAAATAATTACAAAAATTGAGTTGTGGAAATTATTGAAACAATTTTTTTTATAATGTGACGTGAATGCTCTGAACAATTAAAAGCCAAGAACTATTTATTCTAAAAGTAATGAAAATTATATCAAATATAACAAAATAATTGCCATGATAAAAACAATTGTGATTTTATTATTTACAATGTGCAAATACATATACTTAAAACAGGAAGATTGTAACAAAATAAACATGTCTCAACAGCTATAATAATTAAGTGTAATATAATTTAAATGTATGTAAGTCACAATTTGTACATATCAAAAACCTGCATTTTTTCTACGAGTTAAGTGATCGTAATATTCGCTAGTATATTTGTAAAACTAATCAGTTAAATCAACTCCTAGTTATTACACCTATGATTTAAATAAAAACGAGAGTTTCAAATTTACCATTGCAAAGTTACTTTAGACAATTGATTGGAGCACAGATTCTACGAACAATTTTCTATTGAAAACTCAATTACGTTCGTGCCATTCAAACAGAATAAAATAGTAAGTTTATACGGTAATAAATAAACGGAAAATCAGTACTGATGCAAATATGGAATACGTGCAGCTGCATGGTTGATAAAAGATTTGTAAAATGTTCGGTTCATATATTGAAATCATCATATGCTACTTCAGATTTGTTCGATAAAAGTTAACTAATTTATTGAGTTAATCAAAATGTTTGTTGCCTTCTAAGGAGAAAATCGATTATAAATTTGACACACGTAAATTTTATTATACATTTTCTTTGTTTTCTGAAAGTATAAACAGATTTATTAATGATCAAGATTCTTATTTAATTATCATTAGACATCTATAACTATGCTTGCTTTTCTAGAACATGGATTATTAGAAATATAACATGTATTAGTAGAAATATTTTTTATACGAAATTTTGCAAATCGAAACTGACACTTACAATCATTTAGTGCAATCTCATTATTTACTAAATATGCCTGTCTTTTTTGAATTTCGACAACATTTCTATCTTTATGAGAATAATAAAATATTACTAAACTCAGTCTTATCTTACGCTTTTAACTATTCATAGCATATAAAATGTCCAATATACTGTGTTTTAAAATGTCTATAAAACTCTGTTTTTAGTAAGATATTTTAAGGCGCCAAAACGATGTGTACATTTATTCAAAATAAAGAAAGTGTTGACACATAAATTAATAAATATTAGGTACTGATAAAAACGACAGAATTTTCGGGTCAATCTAATAATAATAATAATGTAAAATAATATTGTCAAAATCAGTCTTTGTATCTTTCATCTTTTAACATTTGAGCAGATAAACTGCATTATATTTGGCACTGTTTTTTAATAAGATATCCTGAAATTCTTCAAGAAAATGTTTATAAATAAATTGAATAAATATTACCTATTCACAAATATGGCATAACTTTTTGGTTAACTTAATATTTATTTACTACATACTTGTTTCATCATATGTGGTAAGAAAGATGAGAATAACCAATAATACATAGGATCAATTGACTACATTCATTATAGTCTTGTTCTATTCTTCATCGCTTCTACAGTAAACAATTGTAAACTAATGTTTATTGTTCAGAATGTCAGTATTATGATATTAAAAAATTCTTTTTTTCAATTATTTCCATCGCAAGCTAATTTTTGAAAATTGTATTATTCATTCATTATGTCCAAACACCTGTTGTTATAAAATTTTTTATTCCGCAAAAACCCGTTTTTAATCATTTTTATTTACACATGTAGCGGAAAAGCGCTTATCGTGTAAATAATGTACATAGGTTAGTTATAAGAAAATGTATGTATCGTACGCCGCGTAACCAGCGTACCTCGGGCAGGCAATGCCATAAAAAACCCTTGGGCATGACAACGCACACCCGTGATTGGTTGGACCCAGAAGTCAAAAAGAATATAAATACCGGGAAAAGTCAAGACCAAGTCAGTCTTTTCCTGGAAAGTAAACCTTGACCTTCGGAGCAGCCGGACCTCAGCGGACCAGGCTCTCCACTTTTGCAATATTTCCAAAAGGACTTATAGTTCCGAGCTGCCGGACCTTAGCGGCCCAGGCTTTCGAAACTCTGAGACTTCGCAAACCATTCTCTGGAGCAGCCGGACCTTCGCGGACCAGGCTCTCCGTTTTCCTGAAAACGTCTTTTCTAACATCCAAAAAACGTTACCTAACCTTCTGGCGAAACCCTCACCCGCGACGTGAACGTGTTAACGCGAGCGACTTTTGCGTATTTTAATCAAACGCGTTAGACACGTATATTCATTCCAATTTGTAGTTTTAATATCACGTATATTCATTCCAATTTGTAGTTTGCATCTCATATAGACGCAAACTATTTCTGGAATCGCCACCACATACATCGAGCAACATCAAATTTAAAAGTTGACGAACTGTTTATAAAAATTCATTTGTTTATGTGCATCCACTGAATTTGTGCATAGTTTGCAATAACATTCGATATCACTAATTTAATTTATCTGCAGTGAGCAATGAATACACACGAACAAACTTACATTAACTGTTTCTCCACTCTCTTATTTGGAATAATTGAAAAATTAAGGTATACTAAACAAAATGATTAAAAACGGAGAGAGAAATTAAAAAAAAATTTCTGACATAATCGGAACCATGTTATTCGAAATCAAGCTGTTAGAGAAAGCACTGCACAAACAAGTTGTTTTAAAAATTAGTTTTTATAATTTTACAAAATGTACAAAATTGATTGAGATTCGAATATTTTCTGTATCCACTGAAATTTTATTTCGAACAAAAAAAATATTAAAGAATTTTGTTATTCCATAAGTTTTAAATAAGTCTTTTTTACACATATTATATTCATTTCCGTTTGAATAAATTTTACAGTTTTCCGACTGTTCAATAAAGTTTTATTTGAAAAGGTAGTTCTTAAAGATTAAAATAAAGAATTTTCTAGTTCTTATAAACGAAGAATGTTCGAAACAAATTTGAAGTATAAAAATAAGATTTTGTCAATGTGAAAGTAGTTTAATTGTTTCTGTTTCTTTCATCAGTTTCGAAGACAGTTCGGTATTTGGAAAAATATGGATAAAGTATGAAAAATGTTGCTTATAAAATTCTACAATTCCTGTTTGACACATTTTTTGTTTAATTAATAATTGAACGGGTATTTTAACAAAATCAGCTTCGTATGATTTTAAATAATTATTTGAATCTTCGCGAACTTGTATTTTTTGAAGATTCAATTGAGCTAAAACTTTGCACAACTTTTTTCCATTCTAAGTATAGTCAAAAGTTTGAAATTAATTTTCACGAGGGATAAATAAAAACCACATTAACGATACACACAAAATAAGGAAGAGTTTAAAATATACATAAAATAGTGACAAAATAAAATAAAACTACACATAAATATAAACAAGTGTTATTTTTATGGCGAAAAAAGTAACAACATATTTTTAAGACTCACCAATTCGGTACGATCTCAACCCATTCGGAGTTATGCAGCATTATGAAATACACACCGAAAAAATTTATTGATCCCATAGTCACGAGAATAAGTAACATTTTTTTTCGTTCGGTAACATTTATTATTATAGGTAATTGTCCTTAAATATTTCTATCGACTCGTTAAATATTTCTATCGATACACTATAAACTTGTATTTACTTGTACAAATCATCGTTCACTACCGTTAATGGGCGCTCTTCATAGACACGAAAAACACGTGGTGAAGCCACGGCGCGAACTAACTGATATAGGACCAGTGATGAGATATTGGTCGGGTTTTTCCGCGCATGCGCGAGAAATGCAGGAGCGCACGCAGCGTATGTATTTAGTGGCGCCACCAAGTGGCGCCGCTAGATGGCGTAGTGTCGTTGGCGGGAAAGCAGCGAAGAAACAGCCGTTACGAGGTACGTTGTACATAGTTAATTATAATGGCATTAAATAATGGTGAAGGTGCCGTAAAAAAGCGTAGGATCCATAGATTTAATCATTCATGGTTAGATAATGACAGTTATAAAGTATGGTGAAGACCTACTGTAGATAGAAGTAGAGCGCTTTGTATCGCTTGTAATAAAACTATCAGATGTTGCAAAACCGATGTAGACAATCACGAAAAAACAAATGTACACCGTAGAAATGTAGATTCACTTGATATAAATAATAGCAATAATGATAGTAATAATATTAATGTTACCGCGAGCAGCTTACTCTACTAGGAACATCACTGGCGTGATGGACTGAGCGAGCGAAGCTGTCCCGGTTATCGACAGAATGATAATTATTATACTTATTACTCTTATTATTATCAATGTAACTTGTATTATTAGCCATATTATGCTGCTATGATCGATAGATCGATAATTCTGTCCTCGGTTAGTTATGAAAAATAACTTACAAAAAAAAGCATCAGCCGTATTACCCGCCGACCTTCGGCCGGCGACTTATCCGGTCAATTGCGAAGACATATTACTGGATAAGATGTGAATTTGACCCTGGCCCTATTTTAAATTCAAAATTGGTTTCATACAATAAATAAAAAGAGTTTAACAACAAATTAATTGTTTTTTTTAATTCCTGCTCACTCTTTCCAGTCTTTTAAATTCATTCAATTTTCTTTCACCTTTTTTCTTAATTTGCTCCAAAAGTTGAAGCGTAACAGTGTTTTCAATTAAAAGTCCTTCGATAGAAGAAACTCTGCTTAATGCAACATATGTAAGTCCGGGAGAAAATTCATTTGAAATATTTACAAGAGTATTAAGTAAAGTTAATCCCTGACTTTTGTGTGTAGTAAATGCCCATGCTAATATAAGTGGTATCTGAAGTCGTGTAGCCTGTTTACCATTGTGGAGAAAATTCCGGGTCACAGGCGTGATAGGAATAATGTTCGTTGAAAGACCAGTAAGATTTTGAAATTGGACTAAGACCATGCAAGGAATATCATCTGGGCTTTTAGTTCCAGGTTTATATGTAGATGATATCTTTCACAATTCCCTGAGAGCCGTTTGCCAATCCATGTCTTACTGACAAATTGTATATGAGTATGACTTTAGATCCAACAGAAATTTGCAGTATGTTTGGAAATCCACAATCAGCAGCTTCAGCATCACGAGGCACATTTTTTGCTTCTATTAAAGCGACAGGCATTCGCGTTTGTTCCAATTTTGTGTAATTAGTCTGTTTAACTAATTCTTTTGTGTGTGAAATGATTGTGTGATTTTCGGTGTTGTCCGTTCCTTTTCTGACTCTTTGATTCAGAAAGTTAACTATTGACTCCAAATCCTCACCCCTACTCAAGTTGGTCAGCATGTTTCTGAAGGCAGATTGACTGCTACCAACTTGTCTGTGGTTTGAAGTCAAAATGAATACTTTCTTAAATTCACTTCGAAAAATCTCTCTCCCTCTTACATCTAAAGAATTAGTGTTTCCATTCATTTTAGAGAAAAAAGCAGGTGCAAGAACAGGGGGTAATTGGAATATATCTCCAACTAAATAAACAAAAACGCCTCCAAATAAAAATCGGTTTCCTTTCGCGCTCTGTAACCTGTCGTTGATCATAGCCAAAAGTGCTGGTCTTGCCACTGAATATTCGTCCATAATCAATACACGAACAGGATTGATCATAGATTCAAATTTTTTTTTTGGATTCACCCCGAAGATTAGCAAATTTCTCAATTTGAATCGGAATGATGAATGATGAGTGAATTGTTCCGCTGCCGATGTTAACCCTTTGCGGACTAACGCCGCATATATGCGTTTGCGTAAATCATCAAATTGGCCGAAGAACTCATATATGCGTTTGGCGAAAACAGTTGATTGAGCCGAGAAACGCATATATGTGTCCCATGTAAATGCGTGGCTATGGCCGAAAAACTCAAATGTGCGTTCCGCGAAAACAGTTGATAGAGCCGAGAAACGCGTATATGTGTCCCACGTAAATGCGTGGCTATCACCAAGAAACTCCAAAATGCGTTCCGCGAAAACAACTGATAGAGCCCAAAAGCGCATATATGTGTTTCACATAAATGTTTTATTATAAATACTACGATGGTCGATGAAGCATTCCATTATTAGAAGAATTCTTGAATCACTCGCGTCAGCGTCAGCGCAAAGTCAGTCAGTATTCTGTCCGCTATTTGGTAAAACTACTATTTAAAAAATTTTGTAATCCCCAAAATGGAAAGAAAATATGAAGTAAGTGAGGAAAGCAGCAGAACGGAAAATACTTTATTCGACGAGGAAGAAACTTATAATGAAGGCAGTACAGAGAACATGGAAACATCAGATTCAGAAGGTGAAAACGATATTATAAATAATAATGTGAAATTATTTAATGGCAATAAAAAAAGGCGCAGAATAATAAGTACGTCTTTAGAAGATTCAATTGATGAAAACATTAATAATTTTGGAAATACATCTATAAATTTTTCATGGTCAGAAAATAATTTGAACCCTATATTACATCATTTTAATGAAACAGATTCTGGAATAAAAGCAGATTTAAATTCAAACTCTACTCGTTTCGATGTCTTTTCATTATTCTTTTCAAAAGAGTTAATTTTGCACGTAGTGGAAAAGACAAATATTTATGCAAAATATGCTATCGAAAAGAAGCAATCTGAATACAATTCATGGCCTGCAAAAATTTGGAAAGATATTTCGTTATCTGAAATGTATAGATTTTTTTTTGTGACCATGTTTATGGCGCAAAAGAGAATCTTTACTGTGAAACAGTATTGGTCAACTGATAAAATATTATCTTTGAAAAATTTTTCTAAAATTATCTCAAGAGACAGATATTTAGAAATATTTAATAACATTCATTTTAATGATATGAATGCAAAAAACCCTGGTGACCCGTTAATAAAATTACGGCCTGTAATTAACATTCTAAAATAAAATTTCGCTGGATCCTTTTATCCATTTCAGAATCTCTGTATTGATGAAAGTTTATTATTATACAAAGGAAGATGTTACTTCAAACAGTACATTCCTTCCAAACGGAGTCGATTTGGAGTAAAATCATTTGTTTTATGTGATTGTAAGACCGGATATATTCTAGATTTTATTTTAGAGAAAAAAGCAGGTGCAAGAACAGGGGGTAATTGGAATATATCCCCAACTAAATAAACAAAAACGCCTCCAAATAAAAGTCGGTTTCCTTTCGCGCTCTGTAACCCGTCGTTGATCATAGCCAAAAGTGCTGGTCTTGCCATTGAATATTCGTCCATAATCAATACACGAACAGGATTGATCATAGATTCAAATTTCTTTTTGGATTCACCCCGAAGATTAGCAAATTTCTTAATTTGAATCGGAATGATGAATGATGAGTGAATTGTTCCGCCGCCGATGTTAATTGCAGCGATACCGGTGGGTGCAACACAGAGATATTCTTTTTTGTTGCTTATTCTATGCTGATCGCATGTTGCTTTCATCGCCTGGATAACTGCTGAGTTTCCTGATCCTGCTAGACCCTGAATTATTGAGCACTGAGGTGCGTTTTCGTTGTTCAACTGTTTGATCAATTGTTGAATAATGACATTCTGTTCTTCAGAAAGTGAAAAAGATGGCATTTGTTCCAATGCGCTTTCCTCATCATTCGCATTTTCTCTTAAACTTGCTGCAAAAACTTCCATTTGAGGAATATTGTCATGCGAGTGGTAACTTGCATTCCAGTCATTGTCTATGTCTACATCTCTCCTTCCAAGTTCCACATCAAGCATGTCTCCAGATGGTCCAGCTGCATTAAGTGCCATCCAATCAAGATAAATCTGATCATTGAAATCAGCAGTCTCCTCCTCAAATTCTTCTTCAACTGCGTTCCAATTGATTTGGTTGTTGAGCGGCGTGAAGTTTTGCCGGTTAAAAGCCTCTTCCCATGTTTCATGTTCATTTTTAAGTTCGTTCACATTTGAATGAGCGTAGTGGAAGAGCAGTTGCTGCTCATAATATTTTTCGTTGTGTCCTTTGCCCAATTCAAATTTTAGCCAGATCATAACAACTGCGGGTTTTCGCCTGTTTCCATAATGAGTCCTTCCATTCCGTTTGTAAACAGTTATTGTTTGTGTGAATTAGAATAATGTCAAATGAGAGAGTCTGTTAGGTCTATTCCGGTATTTGCAGATGTGTGAACTTGACAATTCATCTGATTCTTCAGCTGAAATTTCGTTAATATTAATCCAAATGTTATTATCTGTTCGCAAATTGACGAATGTTCTGCTTGATTCAACAAGACTGCATTCTAAAAGAAGATGACAAGCTTCCTGAGCAGATAAATCCCTTCCGATTGCTTTAATCATCATTCTTCTTATAAGAGTTGCTGAAGAACCAGAGTCAGTTTGATTAACCAGTGCTTCAATAAGCTGTTTGAACGATTCAGATCTACTGTTTTCAGGTTTTGAAGTGTATTTTGCCACATACTGAATAAGGGCTGTTTTACTGGTAACTGGCGAAACATCCATATTTGCCCTCCAAACTCGGATCAGATTGGAATCGTACTTATTCAGAAGGGGATCATTCCGTGCAGGGAGAAATGTGTATCTTCCATTTTCCTTAACTAGTATTGATTCATCGTGAATTTCGAAAGGAAAATTGAATCTGCAGACAACAGAATTTGTTCCTCTTCTCTTTCTCATGCAACTCAATGAATTGTGTTTGTGACACTGAACACGATTCAGAAGCTGAGCCAAGTCCAACTGAAAGTCGGTTACTTCTGTGATTCGCACTGACGAAGGATGAATTTTAGCAGGTGCTTCATTAACATTTGGATTGATTGCAGAAACAATATTGTCAAAAAAGTTTACTATTTGCTCTGCTTCGCTTTCTGTCGGATCCCTTTCATCCAAAAAAGAAGTGTCTGGGGCGTTCTGTAACCAGAGTAGGCCATGAACATGTGGCGATCCGCGGTGCTGCCATTCATATCTGAACCATGAGTCGTTTATGTTGTATGTTTTGCAAATCACTTCATTAAAAAAAAGGTTCACTTTTTCTGTGAAGAACCAATCAACGAGTAGAGGATTTTCTTTGATAAGTTTAGCTTGACCAGAAGTTTGATCATTTGTGAACTTTCGTAGAATTCCCAATAAATCAGGATCCTGTAAATCAGCAAAGCTGAGCGTGAAGAAAAGAAATGGCATTCCAAATTGTTCAATCATTTCCCTGAGTTGTGCTGCTTTTTTGAACCAAAAACTATCAGTCCCTGGAATAGACGAAGAGTATGACATGACTCGTTTTAGAAAGTTACGATCCGTCCTTATTCTTTCTTTGATTTCGTCTAAAGACATCGATTGTAAATCATTGCTTTGAATGAAAACATTCCCTTGAGCAACTGATTCCCATCTTTGAATTATATTCAAAGCAAAAAACCTGAATGATGGGTGTTTGGCAAATCGATTATCTTTGTAACGTAGAAGTTTTAAGAAAAACGATTTGGGAGTTAGTCTTTGTCGTGTTGGGTCTTTCATGCATGGCTTTTCATCTGGAAAAAGCGTTGGGAAGGCTGCAGGAATGAAGTTAGGCGTATTAAATTCATCGATTGGAGTCGAAGACATTGCAGGGTACTGAATGTGAACGTTAGCCATAATCTCAGCCTCAGAGCTAAAATTAATTGGTTCAGGAACAAAAGTATCAGAACTAAATTCTTCGCTTTGTTGATCATTTGTCTCGATTTCATTACTTTGACTGCTGAGTTCTACTGATTCAGATAAATGTTGAATGCGTTGATGAACATTCTTTTCCACGGACAAATCATGGAAGTTATCCTCGCTCAAAGTAACGTCTCTGTAAAGGGGATTGTTGTTTTTTAACCAGAAAAGAGCATCTCGAACACGATCGACCATAATTTTGAAGTCCCGCACACGCCGGATGCCATCTTTCTCAGTTATTTTGCTTACGAAAACTAATGGGATGTTTTGTATTTGATGCGGCAGAGTAGTTGCAAAAGAGGAAACATCTTGAGGAAAAGAAATGATGTTCCCAGAAGTCCGTAATTGCCCTGATCCTTTAACCCGATAAACTTTGACTTGAGGATGTATAAGGCTGATAACAAGTTCTTCGACCAAAGAAAGTCCTTTCAATTCATCTGGTACTTCTCCAGGATCCATGTTTTCGGCCCTGAATCTCGAATTAGTTCCACGAGAGCATGATTGACAAACAAAGTTTATCTCAAAATTATCATTGGCACTCAAGTGGAACATGGAGCAGTTTTCGCAAACTCGAAATCCAGTTTTCAAAAGCTTTGCTGCGTAGTTTGTTTCGTGAGGAAGCAAAGAATCTGGTGCATCGTAACGTTTACTAATAGACAGACTTCTTGAACGAAATTCGCGTTCTCGCCTCACAAGGAAACATATCGAACCGCGACACACCGATTTTAATGAAA